ACTAAACTATTGCTCAGGTGCCAATTTGGTCAGAGTGCCCCTCTGTTTTGTCTCTTTCAGACAGGCAGCAGTACTTACTGCCCTCCGAAAAGTGATCCACAGGAAATCAGTTTTCAGTAAGCGGTAGAGTAGCATGGATGACAGGCTTTCAGAAAGCACTACTGCCTCCTTTAGACACCTGTTTGTGTTTTTCAATTTTTACTGTTTCATATTGCTGAATGGCAAATTTACATTGCGAAACTGCACTGCAACTGCAAGCCAAGCATTTGGCTCACATTGCGGTGTAGCCCCATTCATCTCAATGGTTGAGTTTGACAGGCAGCACTGCCACAGGTGCCACAAAACAACATATTGCAGACACTGCATGTGTACAGCCCTGTCAGGCTGTAATATTAGCATTTGGGTGGGAATTGGGTAAAATCACCCAACCACCCGTGTGAAAGAGCCCTAAGGCCAGACAGGGCTGGAAACATTCTCCTTACATGTCTATAGATATTTGTGCTCCTGCAGCAACCTGTCTCCTGAAGTGGGAGCACTGGCCACAGGTTCTTTTATACCATGTGTGACTTGTGTTTTTCTACACTGGATAATTGTTTTCTTTGTGCTCTAGTCACATTACAATGCTGGTCTCATGTGTAGTGTGGAAAAATTCACACATGCTGCATTTTTCTGTAGTGCATTGCACGGCAATGGAAGTCAACATACCACAACGTAACGAAATGTAATTCAGTGCATAGATTTTACTGAAATGTCACTTCAATAAAGTTAAAAAAAAAGTGACAATACAACATACTGACCCTTACCATTCTGCAAAATAGACTGCAGCCTGCCAAACAGAATGGAGTGTCTAGGGTACGGTTGGTGTGAAAGGACCCTGAATGACTCTCTTTTGTGGGCAGCACCCACCTGAAACTACAGAATGTTAAAGGAAACAAAGAATCTTTGTAGAATTGCCCCTGCTTTATAAAAAGGCTAGCATAATGGGTTACCAGGTCATCGATTACCAAGGTAATATATTGGAGCAGACTAGAGCACAAAGTGGCATATCACATTGGTGATCTTAGAGCTGGTGTCAGCTCACAAGCATTAGGATCACTGTGAGAGTGCTTATGAAATTACTTCCTCGCTAGTTTGGCGAACAAAATGTCAATCACTCTATAGTGAGGGGGAGCCGGTAGCATACGGGGCCAGTGAAGGAGCAATTTGCAGAGGGATAGGAAGAAGGCTCTCTTACATGGCTCTGCCACTGGCAATGGGTTGCTAGTGGCAATGTTGCCTGTGTGACATCAGCCTAAAACTGTAATATAAGTAAAGTCTTGAATAGGTAGGCTTTTTTCCCTATATAAATTTTATAATCTGACTGGAGTGCATTGAAAGCAATTATTGTGCTCATCTTTTGCCGTGATTTGGGCTTAAAAAATTACCATATATGATTTCACATCATTGCAGAAATGAACCTAGTGTGCAAGGGTGTCCCATCTTTATAAAAAAATATTGTTATGACACATTGGAATGTTGCTTATGATAGCTGTGTAAAATAAAAGCTGACGAGGCAGTAAACTGTAATAATTTCCCTGTTGGGATTAATAACGTTTTATGTAAACTGTCATGCCTTGGCTGCAAACATTTTTAACCAGTCCTCCACCAAACTAGCATTTGAAATGAAAACTGCTTATAGTTTTCAGTTTAAGTGATCATGTTATTGGCTAACGTCCATACGTTATTAATCGATACAGGATATTACGTAAACTCCAGATTTTCTGAGATAATCCATGGCTACCAAGGTAAAACACTCTACATCTACTTAAATTGCCTTGAAGTGTTGTGTTGTAGCAAATGTGAGAAGCCTGGGGGCATTTTTGTCTGTGGCACACCGTGTGACTGTTGAAAAAAAAAATATGATTTTTTTATGGCTGTGCAGGGTTTTGAAGACTCTAGTTTTTGCTTTTGCCATGGAGGGTCACATTGGTGTCTTCTAAATACCTCTCTTATGGCTCATAGACATTGTGTTCTTTCGGGCAAAAATTATGAACATTTCATACTGAGCACATTGGCTGTTGACTGACTGATAGTAAGCTGGCCATACAGTAGGTGTGAAAACACTATAGATTCCATCAGACAGTGTGCATACCTGGCTCCTTCAATTTCTCAAGTGGTGGTGGTGTTAGCAGGACAACCCACAGCTTCAGTTTCTTAGGAGGTACAGGAATGGCCATTGTGAAAATTGTGAGAACTAGCATCAAGCATTAGAGCTTTGAAAGACGTATCCACTTGCTTTCTTCTAATTAAGGGCTTTTCTGCCCCAGTTTTATTAAAAGAAAGTTCAAAAACAAAACATAAGTTTACCAATGAGTCAGCACACATCTGAAAAATCAGTATGCGGATGGTTCTGGAAACCTGAACCCAGGATTGGAGATTTCATCCCTTCCAGATCCCTCCCAGATCATTTTGAAATCCCCAGGCTCCAGGTCCCAAAATGGACTGTACTAAACAAAGAGGGAACTGAAAAGCCAGTTTCTTCTGCATGACACAAGCTCCATGGAGCCCCTCAACCTGCCTGGTTGAGAATCCTAGGTCATAACATCTTTCTAGCCCCTGGCAGGGCAACGCACTATCACACCAGCCCAAGTTGTCCAGGAACGCAGAAGTGGCAATTACAGAGTTTGGAACAAGCCATATAACACTGACAGGGTGCTTTTATTGGTCAGCTTTTATTCATATGGTTTAAACCTTTTCTCTAAAAGAAATATAAAACTGTTGCTGTAACTGAAAAGTGTTATCTGAATTTCGCCTTTAATTTGTTTGTCGCTTCTAGGTTTGTTTTTATTTTAGAAAAATGTTGGTGACATTAGTGCAAAAGATCCTAATAAAAATGTATAAAGTTTTATTTTTTAAAGATAATGCATGAAAATGATGTCAAAATCATATTACACCCCCATTTCCTACTTAGAAGTTACGGTGACCTTAGACCAACAGACACCAAAGAACGTCATCCTTTCCTGTCACAGCTATGCCATTCTTTATTTTTGCTGATGAGTCTTCCTCTGGGACAAAAGTTGAAAGAAAATAACCATCAGATTACGAGATGTATATATGGACTTGAATTATGTAAAGGAAAGAGGTCAAGTTTGTAGAAGATTGACAACAGTGACCTTTACACTCCAAGTAGCTCCTGTTTCCTTCGTAAAGAAATCTGAGTCAGAAAACAATAAGTAGGAAGGGAAGTGTGAGAAAATGGTGCCCTATAGATCCTCTGCATGTAATCCTTAAAGTATATGTAAAGGTGAAACTTTTTGGGTTGTAGCGGTTACATCTATTAGGCTGTATGAACACTTGATGTTTAGCCCTGTCGCATGGAGTTCTGGCATTTCGGTGCAGACAGAGGGCACAAGTGCACCATTCAGTCCTTCTGCCAGCAGCCTGCCAAACCCTATGAGAGGCTGACAGTTGCTGCCGCTGGACAGCGCTAGATGATGCACCTAGTGTTACTTGCATTGAGGTCAGCATACGCCCATGAATGAATACTCAGAATTTATACTGCTCGTGTTCTGGGCATTCGTTCCTAGGCGCATACTATCCTAAACATAAGATCTGCTAGGTGCACCCTCCAGCCACAGCAGCTGTCAGCCTCTCATAGAGTTTTACAGGCTGCTGGCAGCAAGGCTGGATGGTGTTCTCTGCCCACACCTAAACGCCAAACCCTTGTGCACCTTTTTTTTGTATTTTTTACTATTGCATTGGGAGGATGTCACAAATTAATATCGGTATATAAATATACACAGGAGCACGTTTCTGTGGAGGGAGGTGTATTGTAGTACATCATAATTTTGTTGGAATTTTTATATCACATCATTGTAATCATATTTTTTTGGATTTATTTGAAGAAGAAGCACATATAGTATGTAAGTGTTGTACACATGTGGGAGGAAGGTGTTTTATAGCACCATTTGGTAGCGCCACACTATAATTTTATAATTTTGTCATCTTTATCCATCTAAGGATATAAGAGGAGTGGTAGGCAGCTACATTGCTGTAATCATCAGTCCATAAGCGCGGATAACAAACCAATACCATGTGTGTAGCCACCAATTTGAGGCAATCCCTTAGTTAATATGGTTTTCCTGTGCTTTCACATTTTGAAGTAGAAAATAAAAAGTGCCATATACTGTATGCTGCAGGCTAGCATTAACAAAGCAGTTTTTGTTTTTCTGAGTTGCCCTGTAACAAAGTTTTATTGCCTATTGATCCATTTAGTAGATCTGTTATTTTTTATTAATATTTTCCGTGAGATTGCACCCTGTGGAGAAGGTAGCCTTAGTAATCTTTATGTAACAGACAAACATTTTGAAGTCCAGCCCCAGCTAACATTCATAAGCAGTTGCAGCAACAAAGGACAAAACCAAAAGTGGCTTAAAGCAGAGTTCCAGCTAAAAAAAAAATAAATAAAAATCAGCAGCTGCAAAAACTGTAGCTGCTGAATTTTAAAATACAGTCACTTACCTGTCCCTCGGTACAGCAGTGTTCTCACCATGGCTGGTTTCACCGTCCGTCTTCTCTCCCTGGTGCCAGCATCTTCAATGTGGGCACCCGGCTGTGGCAGCTTACGGCTTTAAAACCGGGTGCTCACTGCGTATACACGAGAAGTGCTGCACTTTGTGAATGGCCGTGTAGCCTTCTGGGACCTGTCACGGGTCCCAGAAGACTATGGAGAGGGAGAACAACTTCCACTTCTGATCGCCTTAGGCGTTTGCAGTGGAAGTGGGAGCGGGTACCTGTCAAATTTGGGTACCCGCTCCCCAAAGGTGCCAATCCTTAATGGGGAGCGGGAGACAAAGGCTTAAAGTGGAACTTCCCCTTTTGGGTGGAGCTCCGCTTTAAGGCGGGAACTATGTCAAAAGCTTATTGTTTTGAATAAACTCCATGGTGGGACTTTGTCGATGTACAGGTTTGTTTTTCATTTTTGCCATGTGTGCTGAGCAGGAGGAGGTCTTAAAGTGTCACTAAACACACAACAGTAAAATCAGTGTGTATATGCAGTAAAGCATGCTTGTTATACTCACTGTGGAGCCTAAGGGGTTAATCCTCTGCATTGTGTAAAAAGGCTGTTTGATCCTGACTTCTTTGCCCCCCCCCTCTTGTTGAAATGACCACCTGATACAGACTGAATCTGTAGTTACATGCACATGCTCAGTTTGGTGTGTATTGCTAGAGAGGATTTTTTTTTTCTTGGGAGAGTGCATGTGATCAGCACAGGGCCAATCAGCACTGTCCAGACCTCTGGTCAAGGGTTTCACGTTCTCCTAGAGCAGAAAGAAAACTCCTCCTACAAGCTTTAACCAGTGCTGCTCTAACTGCTGATGAGAAAAGGTATTTAGCAGTTTATATTTACTAAATAAATTGCATTTCCATGTTGTGTGTACCGTGCGAGACCAGATATAGTGAATGCAGGGTCTTGGGTTTAGTATCACTGTAAAGCCAGCACCCTGTTCGGAGAGGGACCAGAGGAATATGCTCTAGACTTGGAGTAATGCAGTCTTTTCTTTGTGTCTACAGTTAGAGCAGCAGTTTTTTCTTTTGTAAAAATGGTTTACATATGAATGTCACCTAATCATTGTAAGCATCATTGACAGTGATTTATTGTTTTATCCCATTCCTACTTTTGTTTGACAGCTTGGTCTGTTATAAGAAGTGGGAAAAGAATACATTTTGCTGGCAGGATCATTAGGTAATAAAAATATGTTGTGAGGGGACTACGAAAAGTAAAAACGTCTGTATCAATGCTAGCGACAGACTGCATTATAGATGTCATTCTTTATTTTGCCCATAGCTACAGTTTAAAAAGAATAACTAGCCAACTTTTTTTGATATATTTTTTTTTCCTTTTTTCCATTTTCTAAATGGTACAATATCAAAATATATCCACAGCTTACATCTCAATTACTTTTGCATTATGATATTTAACCATATCAACATAAATAGAAAAATACAAAATATATTACAAATACCAAAAAATTGTAATTCCAACAAAACATCTACTAACAAATGTAACCAATAGTCTTTATCCACATCCAATAGCAACGCTTGAAATATCATATATCTTAAATGATTACATTAATAAACATTTATTTAATAAAAGTATGTTTTACTATGAGTTAAGTTTAAGCTTACCCAAACTAATAATTCACATTTTTTTTAGTTTGGAAGTAGGGAAAGGTCAAAACCCCTATACAGTTATTGTTTGCTGTCTGTATCTTGCTCAGGAGATTTCTTTTCACTTTCTGGCTAGGAGACACAGCAGAAAGTTTCTGGAAATCTTCCCAAAGTAAGGATAATTTTCAACCTGTGTGTCCAGAACATTTTCTGTATTAGAAGGTTTCCCCTTACTTCTTCTTGCCTGTATGCAATATTTTCATGTAACTCCGGTCTTCTGTTTTGCAGTGTTTGGGGGGAAACTCTGTTCATTTCCCAAAAGAGCATTTGTGAGGTCATACACTGATGCTGGACAAGAAGACCAGTTGATTAAAGCGAAAGTTTAATTATGTCAATTTTTACATAATTGCATTGGTCTACCAGGGACCAATGTAAGTATGTATGTGCCATTCCTGTGGGATCCCCCTAGAAGCTGGAAATTAATACAGCAGGCACCACTACTACAGGGATTGTTGCTGAATTTTGGGTTATTTTTCGAGCGGCTGCCCTGCTGCTTTCTGAACACAGGAGTTCGCCACCTAGGCTTGTGCGCCATTGAGAGAACACTTTAATTTTCTTAGTGAATGCAAGGTGTTCTCTGGATGAGGTGGAGATCTTGACATCACTGCCCCCCCCCCCCTCCACCTTTTCCAATCAAGGGATACTATGTATTTTGGACCTGGAAGCTAGTGATGATTACTGTAGTAGCAGTGTGATTTCCTGCTTTCACAGGGATTCCCTCGGATATGGCATACACTAAACATACCTACATTGGTCCAAGTTGGACCAATGTAACAATTGCCATACCTACACTTCAGCTTTAAAGCCAAAGATCAAACCAAGATCAACTACATTTTTGTCTATTCCTTATGTTCAATAAAATGCCCAAGATTGTTTTCAATGACAGGCTGTAGTGTAGAGAAAATGTTACATTTGGTGGCCATAATGTCATCTTTTCTATGCTAGGATTGCAGCTATCTTTGGCTGCCAGGATGAGGGATCTGTGAAGATCTGTGTGGCACCCTTTTTTGCATCCTACAGATATTAGGTGAGCCTCAAAAAAGTACCATGATCTTTATGGACTGTAATCATAGCAGTGCAGGGCTGACAGGTGCTTGTAGACTGCTTGGATTGACATTTGCATAAGCTGCCAATCAGCTGCTGAGGATGGGCATGGAGCAAAAGACTGGGGTGGAGGGATCATCAGACAGGGTCTAGCCACTGCAGGCAGTGCAGATTTATGGACATCAGTGCATCGACCAGATGCTTGGGTCAGGTAGAGAGCATGGCGGTGACTGGTCTTCAAACCAGAAACTGCAGCCAGTAACACCTGTGGACCACAACTTAAAAGGGGGATAAGTCAAGCTCTTTGCAGATTTAGCTAAAGTAAGGGGATGCTCTTACTAAGGACAATTATTTGATCTGATTGGTGTTTTACTATATTTACTAGTATTTGTGTATTCTTTCTTAGAAGGAAATGTATCATTTTCATTTAGTGGCCTTTTAAATTGACTTTTGTTGTTATGACCGTGTATGTGCTGCATTTCACCACGTAGTAGACACAACACCAACTCCATATCTGCCATATCTGTAAATCTCTGCTTCCGGTGGCATCTTCATCCCTGTCAGACTCGTGGGAATGTTTGAGAAAACAAAGCAAAACAGTCTTGTTAATAGGCTTATGAGAAACAGAAGCCTGACTGTTTATTTTGCATTATGTGACTATGTTGATGTTGCAGTATACATGTTGGAATTGGTACGCCCATTTGAATTTTATGGTTAAGGCTGAATTGTAAACAGTACATTTTAATGCTTTATAAACAATACATGTGATTGTATAAAACTTTAATTTAAAATAAGAATAATTCTTGTAAAATGTATTACATTTTGGGTAAGCCTCCAAGTTTTATATGTAGTCATGGGAGATATGAATGGAAGGTCTCAGCTTTTACATGTACCATTTGAGTCTCTAGAAGGTAGGGCAGTGGTCTCCAAACTGTGGCCCGAGGGCCAGATCCAGCTCTTTGCTTGCCTTTATGTGGCCTTTGGGGCACTATTCCTCTCATTGATACCAGGCATTATTTTCTCCTTATAAACAATAAAGGGTAATGTGTTCACTCTACAGTGGTGCTGTGATGGAATAAACATAAAAATGTGCAGTCTTTATGATAATAGTCCACACTAACAAATAAGAAAAACAAGGTGCTTCAATTATTTGCAAATTTGCTTCTTTCCACCAGGACACCACAAGTGCTTGTGCAAATTCCTCTCCCCTATAGGTGGACACTCACCAAAGCTCCATGCCTCCCACTCTCATGGTTGGCATAGCTCGCTTTAGGAGTTCCACATCTGTTCTCTGGTGGTTAATCTCCATTGAACTCCTTACTCCAGTCCACCAATTATCATCACCATGGAAAATAAATATAAACCTCCAATGGTACAGTAACCAATACAAAAACTCTATTTAAAAGTGAAATGCTACTCACAAAATAAAAAGTATAAAAACGCTCATTTTAATAACATATGGATAGGCGTCAGGCGTGGTATTTAAGTGTTGCTGTCTCACCACCGCTGGAATGCTCGGATCATGTTAGCAGTTCTTGTCCTGACATCACATCCGGTCACATCTGACTTTGTCACAAAGAATTGAAGCATCTTGTTTTTCTTATTTGCTAGCGTGGACTATTATCAGAAAGACTGCATATTTTTATGTTTATGCCATCACAGCACCACTGTACAGGAAAACCTTTACACTTTATTGTTTATATATTGAATTAAGAAGGTGGCCGCAGTGATTTGTCATTTTTTATGAATGTATATATATTCTTTTCTGTAGCACTAGGTGAATTTTTAGTGGCGGCGGGAGTATATATATACACTGCTCAAAAAAATTAAAGGAACGCTTTGAAAACTCATCAGATCTCAATGGGTAAAATATCATACTGGCTATCTATACTGATATGGACTGGGTAATGTGTTAGGAACTGGGGAAAGTGTAAGGATGCATCATCGTTTGATGGAAATTAAAATGATCAACCTACAGAGGACTGAATTCAAAGACACCCCAAAAATCAAAGTGAAAAAATAATGCAGCAGGCTAGTCCATTTTTCTGAAATTTCATTGCAGCAATTCAAAATGGTACTCAGTAGTTTGTATGGCCCCCACATGCTTGTATGCATGCCTGACAATGTCGGGGCATGCTCCTAATGAGATGACGGATGGAGTCCTGGGGTATTTCGTCCCAGATCTGGACCAGGGCATCACTGATCTCCTGGACAGTCTGAGGTGCAACCTGGTGGCGTCAGATGAACTGAAACATGATATCCCAGAGGTGTTCTATTGAATTTAGGTCAGGTGAGTGTGGGGGCCATTGAATGGTATCAATTCTTTTATCCTCTAGAAACTGCCTGCATACTCTCGCCACATGAGGCCAGGCATTGTTATGCATCAGGAGGAACCCAGGACCCACTGCACCTGCTTAGGGTCCAACAATAGGTCCAAGGATTTCATTGTGATACCTAATGGCAGTCAGGGTGCCATTGCCTAGCCTGTAGAGGTCTGTGCGTCCCTCCATGGATATGTCTCGCCAGACCATCACTGACCTACCACCAAAACGGTAATGCTGAACGATGTTACAGGCAGCATAACATTCTCCATGGCTTCTCCAGACCCTTTCACGTCTGTCACATGTGCTCAGGGTGAACCTGCTTTCATCGGTGAAAAGCATAGGGCGCCAGTGGCAGACCTGTCAATTCTGGTGTTCATTGGCAATCAAGCTCTATTGTGGTGGGCAGTGAGCACAGGGCCCAGTAGAGGACGCCGGGCCCTCAGGCCACCCTCATGAAATCTGTTTCTGATTGTTTTGGTCAGAGACATTCACACCAGTAGCCTGCTGGAGGTCATTGCAGGAGCAGATACCGGTCCTGCTGATAGGTTAAGGACCTTCTACGGCCCTGTCCAGCTCCCCTAGAGTAACTGCCTGTCTCCTGGAATCTCCCCCATGCTCTTGAGACTGTGCTAGCAAACCTTTTGGCAATGGCACGTATTGATGTGCCATCCTGGAGGAGGTGGACTGCCTGTGCAAC